TCACAGCTAATCATCGGAAATGCGGCCCGCGCCCGTAGCGTAAACAAAACGTTCTCTACGTTTTGATCAGACTGCTCCCAGCCCCCAGTTCCGAGCGGCGCGCAGGGCAGCGCAAACTAGCGCGTCCGGGTTACGGTGATCACGTGGACACCGTTGAGCCAACACTGGGAGGAGAAACTCATGACGTCATCGTTAAATTTTGCTCCAAGAAGCAAAAACAAAAAAAAAAACGTGAGAATGACGTAGACATGCCTCTGACGTAGTAACTCAATGTTGGCTGCTCCAACTACGTGGTATTGACTGCGCTGTTAATTGCGCCTCACCTCGCACGCAAGTATTAGCAGATTTCGGTGACTTTGCTCATTTGAAGGTTTGCTGGCCAGCTTATTAAATATATGGGCGGAATTAGATCGTAATATTTGACATCTGGTCTTCCTAGATGATACTGAAAAGGGCTGCGTAGTTTTCTCAGTATCAAAAATGAGGCGGAGTTGCCCATTAACTAGCCCCAGACTTGTACCTGCTCCGCGAGTGGTAAACAGCGCACTACAGCGCTTCACACGCTCTCGAGGTCTTTCTAAAACTTACTGATTTAGGAGTTTCGGAGGACGCTCAGGGAGTTTTTAATTGGAACCATATGTCTATTATCACTAATTAAGACGTTAATTAGTTAATTTTAATTAATGAGCCGACATATAGCAAAGATTAGCCACCTACATAATGTCCCCCTGGACGTATGACTCACTCGCACAAACCGCATAAATGTACCTTTCACGGATTTTTTTTTAAACAAACCTGCAAGAATAAAAACAAAACCCGGTATATTGTTGTTTTTTACTAATAACTACCAAAAGTGACTTTCACCTCTATAAGAAAAATACCAATTATATATTGAGCATGTACCAGATTTTATTAATTTTTACATAACCTGCGCTTCACGCAACTCCTGATTTCGGTCAACTTAATTCCCAGGGAAAGCAGGATTATCGACATTCGCTTAAGCAATGTCGATCAAACGTTATTGTCGACGAAACGTGTGTCCATGAAACGTGTGTCCACGAGGTGGTGGCCGTGGAACGTGTTATCACGAAACATATTGAGGACAAAAATTTCTGCCTGCAGCTGTGACATGATTTGAGAATTTCGGAAAAATTTATTCTCCCGGCTGCCAGGAGATAGACACGGCCTAATTCTAGAAATAATCTGGAAGAGTACCTTAAGGAAAACGATCAATTGCCGCGAAGTAGGTTTCAGCGCATTTTTGCTGACGAGACAGGACTTGAAAGGAGTAATCCGACATATATGTCAACACGGCCACGGCAGAACCACCACTCAAACATAAAAACGGGAAGGAATGTGTCCGTGAAGATTCAACACGATCTAGCAAAAGCTGTCATTTGTAGTACCGAACACTAAACGCATCACGATAAATTCTTTGGCTTCTTTCAAGAGGTCGCTTGTTGCCGATGTACGGCTAGGGCTTTTCAAATTTACTGCAGAAACAGCAATACGCAGCAGCCACGCTAGGCGCAACAGACGCCAAACTAGGTCCGGCAGAAAAGCATTACGAGATTGCTAACGGCTAATGCGTCGTCCGTCACCACGTGACCAGCTTCTCACATTTCCCGCGCACAGAGTGCAAAGTCTACGGCTGGTTGGTTCGGAAAGCGCGCACGTTCTTCCACACTTTCAGCTTAGTCAGAGAGCGAAGAGGAGAGAAGAAAAGGCCAAAAAGGGAGTGCACACACAAAAGGCTTGTCGGCTTATTATCTGGGGCCTGCCGACAATTACCACACCGAGAGGATTTGTCACTTGTACCCAAGGTTGATAGTGCAGTGCATGCTATATGTGGCCTTGGGATTGAGGAAGGTACCATGTTCTGCTTATCAACAGCTTCTAGACTGTAGACACGTGACCCTAACCGGAGAAACGATTGGCCTAAAACACGCCTAGCGTCTACCCTGCTCTCAATACCGATTGAACAGGACAGCTCTATGAAGGCCGGCTTTTGAACTTCCAAAGAAGCTGTCTAGCCCAAAATATAATTTGAAATGAAAAACTATGCGAGACTATTTTTTGGGCACGATATCCACAAAAAAAATAAATAAACAAATAAATAAACAAATAGATAAATAAATAAATAAATAAATGTATAGATATATACAAATACATTTAAAATTTTGCTTGCAATGTTAGCTTCGCGTCTTAAACTACTTTTTTTTTACGAAATAACACATAAAAAACACCACGGAGAGCACATCTTCCGACTTTAACACACTATGAATCGCTGACGCTCGCAAATAGAACGTTGCGATGCTCCGCGAACGGGTTTTGAAAGTTTGAAAGATGCTGCATAGGGTACTCCGGGCGCAACGACTTCGCAGCTGTTCGAAGGGAGAAGGATTCGCGACGACGAAGTAGCGTCTCTCGTCTTCAGTAAGCTGACGGTTCGTGTTTCCCCACTAAATTTAGCGGGGAAACATGAACAAAATTAGTTTTACTGCTGGATTTAGCGGGAATATTGACGTCACGTGACATAAGCACCAAATCGATTTCCCGCTAAATTTAGCGGGACGGTTACACCGATGCCGACAGCGACGCCGACACCGCTTAACGCGCAATTGGGCACCTAAGAGCTGCGATCTAAAATCCATTATTTGATTGACTCGCTCTCCGATCTTATGCACTTCGTCATATTGTTACACGTCAGACGTACAACCAAATTTCATTCGTCTTTCAATCTTCAAATGAGCGATAGATTAATTGGTTAATATCAGGAATAGCTTCACTTTAAGGATGTTAACAATATTTAACCAATTACATGAGACTCATGGAATATAGATAAATTAACTAGTGTGTTATCAAATACATATACCTTTTTTGCTTGCACGACCGAAACGGGCCCTAATATTATTTATCAGGGGATATATTTTTACCAATATATGTCGTGAACGCTCTATAACAGCAGTATATAAAATTTTATGCAGCGACATATGGCCGTATTCACACGCGTATATGGCAATATATGGCAGCATTTGCCCACTTTTATGGCGATATGTGGCCGTATTTGCTCCCATATACGGCGGAATATGGCAATATTTGACTCCTTATATTAGCCTATATTGCCATATATAAAGTATATCAGGGCCATATCTCACATTTTTGTACCGGTTCCCTCTATTATATCCCCCTGGCTGCATCCCCAACTGCACAGACCGCATTGCATGTTGCTTCCACGGCTTTTGCTTTAAACAAAGCTTTAGAGCATAAAAAATCCAATATGTATATTTCCTGCAAGATTTGAAATAAAATCGCCCAGCTGGGAAAACTCATATTGTAATACGCCGATTGAATTTTCACGCTGAAATTGGCGGGAAGTGTTTCGCCGAAAAATATAACTGGGAACCCTTAGTTTACAAATATTCGCCAATTCAATTTCACTCTTATTCGAACTCGGGACTATCATTATCATCAACACTGCCGCTAGTCAATGCCGGCCACATGGACTCCCGGAAGCTGCCAAGGACGCGTCGCCTCCCCAGATCATCATATGACACGGCGCTACTCTCACACTGTATTTCGTACACTATAATAAACGCACCCCCCGTTTAATCAGTCTAAGTTTGACCACAACACTACTAAATACCATGGGAAAAAGTGGATTGGTAAATCCTAAACACGTCAATACACTTTAAAAAAAATAGGCGCGAAGATGGTGCCGTGCTGAGGGAGATCGAGAACGTCAAGGGTGAAGGATATTTACTATTGATTTAGTTAAAAATACTGAGACCTTAGGAAAGGTCATTGCAGGAGTGGGGATAACATGCACATTGCACTCAAACACACACCCAGAGAGCGTCATACGCAATGCAACTCACCCTAAAACAACACATACTAACATCTACATTGCACCTAAAGACATACCCAGAGAGCGTCATACGCAATACAATACACCCTAAAAAACATCAATAAGTAAAATAGGAGGGTTATAAATAGTATCCACCCCCTAGTATGCTCAAAACAACCTATAGTGCATCCACCAATTTATCAGAATTAAGTGAACGAGGTGCACCCTTAGTACTGTTCCAGTTTTCAATAGTTCTAAGAAAGAAAGTGAATTCAAAACAATTAAGGTGACATTGATATGGTACAATGTTTAAGGGATGAGAACTTCAAGTGCGTGAGTGAGTAGTAACATCAACATAACTATTGCGATCAAGCACACTGTTATTAGTAACTATGTTATGTAGGAGCTGAAGACGTTCAACTTTGCGTCTTGAGCCCAAGTATTCTTGTCCTACATAAAGCATGGATGAGGTGGGTAAAACTTGCGATCGTAGCGGTTACAAATAAATCTGATAGCCTTAGTCTGTATTGCGTCAAGCAGCTTAGTGTCACCCTTAAAATGCGGGTACACAGCCATATTACAAAATAGATATAATTAAGGTCATATAAGCGGTTATTTTAACTTTTTTGTTGAATATTTCAAGGTTATTTTAACATATCTTAGTTTTTGTAGGGCGCAAGAATAAATTAAATTAATGTGACCGCCCCATTTATGAGATGGGGTAAATGAAATTCCTAAGTACATATATTCATAAACCTGACGCAGGATCCATTACCAATGCCATAACTAAAAACAGACGGAATCTTTGTGTTGGTGAATGAGAGAAACGCAGTTCTATCGAAGTTAACCTTCATTTGCCACTTCATGCTCCAACTAAGTAATCGTGAGAATGAGTCATTTAGCACGTTGTGATCCTGTATTGAATTGATCTCATTATATAAAACACAGTCATCTGCATAAAGGCGAATTTTAACTGAAAGATGTTTCACGAAATCCTTAATCTAGAATTGAAATAAGAGGGGTCCTAAGAACTGATCCCTATGGGATGCCAGAACTAACCTGGGTGCAAATGACCCCTTTTTTAATAGCGAGCTTGTTTGCTAAAAAATAAATGAGAGAGGAGAAAAACACACATATTTGACTCCAAACTCACTCTCGGCAAGTCTGCCGTACGCCTCTGCCCAGACGTCCCTGTTTTGCGCCGTAAGAATGCCCACGCCAACGTCCTTCTCTGGCGACATCTCCACAACTCGAATGAGCTGAGTCAGGATCCTTCTTTCGTCGTGGGGCACTCCTTGATCATCGTACGCTTTGAAAGTGAACATCTGTGCGGCAAGAAACTCAGACTCGGCATCAAGGCTCGAATAAAGATACGAAATAAGTGGTGTGTCACTTCGACTTCGCAAGCATCTATTTCGGCAGGGGCATATGACCTTTTTATTCGCAACGCCAGCCCGCCACTCGCCCTACCGCGACTAAACAAAGAACAAAAGAGGGGACGACGCCGGGGCTTTGGGTTGATGTTGCCGCATAGGTCTGTTCGGCGCACTCGTGTATCATGCCGTCCTAGCGGGATAAAAAACGAGTGCATTCAAAAAATAATTGGGTTTAGCTTTGCAACTCTTAAAAATCAGCATGCTCATTTTTTTATCTACTTTAACATCTCTGACACTTTTGATATGCTTCTGCCCTGATCGCTTGCGTACGTAGCCAAATAAATTAATTTTGGCACACTGATCAGCGTTTGTGAGCAGGCAAATTGAAAATACTGAAGAGTCAATCCCCGTTTTTTCGGCCATCTTTGAGCTACCGCCATGCCATTTATAGGGCGTTAAATTTGCGAGTATGCCATATACTTTCAAGTCCGGGAGAGAAAATGAAACTTGTTTTTCTTCGCCCGCATGAATAAATTTAAGCTTCTTAGATTGCTTAACTTATTCATGTCAATGAATAAATTAAGCTTTATGAATGTGAATGTGACGCTGCCACTGGTGGTGGAATCTGAAAATTTTGAGAAAAGATCGTTACAGGAGTTTAAAGGTAAAACCGAAATGAAAATTGCATGTCTCTTTGGCCCAAGGGCACTTAAAATGCATAGCATTCACAGGTCCCCTTTGATTTCAATGGGTCTTCTAACGGCACGTTGAGTCACGTGACCACGTTATGTGACGTCACAGTCACATAACATCACATCCCTCTTATGAACGTAGGAAGTACGTGATCACATGCTGTAACAGGGGTTGGGACCTTGTCAGGTGATTCGTTTTCGCCTTTTGTCCCAACCTCCCTGACAATTGTGTCAAAAATAAATAAACAAAAAAACAAATATGACGTAAAGTCATGTGATGACGTACTTCCCTGACGGTCACTTGGCTTTCACGACTCTCCCTTGGCGTCACGGTACACTGTAACTTCACGGGATGCAATGACATTAGGTCACCTAAAGGTCAAGTGACATCACGGGAAACCGTAACGTCACGGGACAGTATAACGTAACATAACATGTGACGTCACGTCACACCGTGACGGTATACAACCAAGTGATGTGACGTTAGGCCACGTCACATGCACCGTAACATGACAGTGTCACGTACGTTACAGTGTTCTTTTTATTTCATAGTGCTACATCGCGCCAAAATGTCATCTGGCTGTAGCGATGTGGCTGAACAAACGACAAGCAAGACGACGCAGATGAACGCTGTGACCAGTAGAATAATCAAAGATGCAGACTGCAAGACCGTAGCAAGGGATGAGAATAAGAAAAAAAAAGAAGTGCAGGACAACACGAGGAGAGTGAACGGGACAGACAAGTTCGAGGCACTCAAAAAGTCGGTTGGGGACACGACCAACTCTATATTTACGACCACTAGATTTCCTGTATAGACTCCCTACGGGAGCTAGAGTTGCGCGTTCATCCCCGTAGCGCCGCCTTTCCTGCACGACATGTTGATTCTGCTCCTCAAGTCAGTGAATTCGGCGAATAGCGGCGCCGCGCGTTCGAGACGCCCGGCGCGCTCAAGAGCAGGGGAACGTACTTTCGGGGTGCGTGCAACGTCTACTTCCCTGCACGGCATTTGATCGGGATCCTCACTTATCTTTGCGAATAGCGGCGCGGCGGCACGTGGAAAACAGACGCGCAACTCTGGCTCCCGTAGGAAGCCTATACAGGAACTCTAACGACCACTCCATCTGAGCTCTCCCTATGGAAGAGCCTGCTCCCGGCTGAGGGCCGAGTTTTAGCGCCGCCTAGTCAGAGGCGTTCTCACTAGGCGGTACGAAATGTCGGCTCTCCTACCTAACTCCTACCTTATCGGATTCTTCTGTTATCCGTGGGTGCGTGCCAGCTGATCGCGCTTTCTGGTTTCAAGCGCCATCACTCTGTAAAATGTTTTTATATATGTAAATGATGCTGAAGGAATCCAATTCGTTAATTAGTTTGCTTTTTTTTTAGTTTGCACAGCAAACACCAGATGGTAATGGCTGCGCCCGCGCGCTGCCAACGCCATAGAGGCCAACACAACCTGATACAGAGCGGAAAAAGACGAAAAATAAAATACCGAGTTCCAGGCCCCGCCACGAGGTGTCGCTGAAACTCGGTCCTCGGAGGTTCATGCTGGAGTGATTCCAGATGGAGTGGTCGTAAGTATAGAGTAGGTATAGAGAAAGCATAGAGTAGTAACTATAGAGTAAAGTATAGGGCAGGTCGTGGTTGGGAATCGGCACCATGCTCAACACCAGCGGTCCTGGCAGTCTAGGAAGATTTCGGACGGGTGCCAAGAGGCCCGTGGGGACTTTGAACCTGCACACCGTGGACCCCCGCCATAAACCAAGCTGCAGCCAGCAACCCTACGTCTGGGCTGACCCAGCCTGCCAGGCTCCAGAGCCAACATTACGACAACGAGGCGTCTTCTTGGATATAACATCGTGTGAGCCGTAAGCGAAGTCGGCGGACTGAATTTTGTACATATTTTGGTGACTCTCGTAACTTGTTTCCCTACACTACCTGACTTTTATTTTTGATTTCTTACTCTGTAAATAACATCTTTCTTCTTCCAACTACCGCTCCGGAACTCTGAGCTCCTTCCTTATCCACTTCCATCACAATCTGGCGTCCGCGACAGGACTCTCTTCCTAACATCTTATAGAGAGCAGAATACCAGGACGGTGCTGTAAGACAATTGAGTATGGATCCAGAAAATTTAGTAGCTCTCGGTAAAGAACTGGGATATACTGTGGCAGAGCTTCGCGACTGGGTTGAGCAAGAACGCAACTGGCAACTCGAAGAACGCCACCTGTTACGAGACGAAGCACGAGAGTCAGTTAAAGCGGCACAGGAGGCTGCTGATCGAGAGATCAGTAGATTGCAACAAGAACGGGAAGTGATAGAACTGCGACTCCGACTGCCAGACAGTATCAGTTCAGATCGGAATGAGAACGAGGGTGGTACCAGTGGAGAAGAAAAGCAGGAAGCACAAGCAAATTGTCGCAGCCCTCTTAAACCTATCGCACCATTTAACGAAAAAACGAGACGACTTGGATGCTTACCCAGCGTTTGGAAGAATCACAAGCAGCCAAAACTAGCCTCTGGCCAAATGGGCATTGTCATTAAGCTTGAGGCCCTGACTGTAGTTGGCAGGATGACTCCTGAGGAGTCTTTAGACTACGCAAAAGTCAAGGTAAGCCTGCTACAGCGGTTTCGCTATAAGTCCGAACGGTACCACGAGAAATTCAGGGACGGCAAGGCCGAAGAAATGGAAACAGGGAGACATTTCGCGGCTCAACTATTAGGGTACTTTGATCGTTGGATCGAGACAGGATATATATCCAAGATATTTGAAGGGCTAAGGGACCTGATAGTGTCAGAACAGTTCCTGAAGAGCTACAACACCAAGCTATCTATATTCCTACAAAAAAGGAAGCTGCAGGACACTGGCGAATCTGGCGATAACCGCAGACCACTTTCTCGAAGCACAGGGACAAACTAGCTTCTTTAAACTGAAAGATGATTCGGACCACAAGACCGCAGGCCATAGTAAAGAATACAGTAAACCACAACCTTCTATAAGGGCAGCCAGTCGATGCTACCTCTGCAATAAACCTGGTTATAGAGTAACCAATTGCTGGACGGGTTCCAAGGCTCCGCGTTCTTCGTGTATTGGAGGTGTGGATGGGCTGGGCACAAAACAGAAGCTTTCAACTGGAAGTCAGACGGAGGAAAATACATGGCTCCCCAGGCTTCCTGTGCGTTAACGACCGCTGACTAAACCGAATCAGGTCTTATTAAAAAACGGGGACAAGATCCCAGTAGAAAATATGGCACTTGGAAAACTTCCACCTTTCCTAGTAGACAATATGCCAGTGATGAGAAAAGTGGGAGGTCGAACGGTAACGGTCCTCGAAGAGAGCGGCTGCGACACTGTTGTTGTGAAAAGAAGCCTGGTTCCAGATAACAAGCTAACAGGCTTTTCCAGTTCAGTTTTAGTTCTGGATAGGGGGATTAAATATTTACCAGACGCGGAGATTGAAGTAAAAACTCCATACTTTACGGGCTGCTTGGTGGCGAAGTGTATGAATAACCCGTTATATGACTTGGTACTCGGAAATATTAAAAGAGTGAGTAGGATCGATGGTCCCGATGAAGAATGGGTTAGTGACAAAAGACAAACAGTGTCTGAAGCGCGAAAACGAGAAATCGTAACTGGGGAGACGGCAGTAGGAGGGAGAACTGCTAAAGAACTCGCAATGAGTGAGAAACATGGCGAGAGAGACTGTAAGGTCTTGGAGAAAGAAAGTGATTGCGCGGGGGTGCTAGGAAAGGCGCCAGGCAACTAAAACATTTTTGGGTTACCAGTCATGTCAGTGGAGTCAAAAGACGTTGATAACAGAAAGCTGAGAATGGCTCAAGAGAACCACGAAGCACTGAAGAAGTGCTTTGCACCTGTCGGGAGAAAGTTAGTTTTGGAAAAGGCACACGAATTGGAATTCGTTTTACGTCACCGAATCTTCTACAGAAGATATCGGACACCGTCCCGTAAGGAACGGGAGCAATTAGTTGTCCCAAAAAACTTTCAAATGATCCTGCTCAAATTGGCACACGAAGGAATTATGGCCGGCCATCAGGGAACAAAAAAAAAACACTGATCGTGTAGAAGAAGAACTCTACTGGCCGGGAGTAACAACCGAAATAACACGATTTGGAAAATCGTGTGACATTTGCCAGAGGACTGTTCCCAAGCACTTGCTGGCCAGGGCGCCCCTTGGGACCATGCCAATCGTCGCGACACCCTTCCACCGAGTCGGCATAGACATTATCGGACCAATCAAG